GGCGTTCCACCTCAGGGACCGCCGTTTCTTTACGGCATGGGCCTGTTAGGCCATTTAATTTGTATGACAGCAAATGGCCTAACAGGCCTCCTCGGAGGTACGGAGCCCGTGCTTCTATGATGTCACCTTCCCTTTATGGTCATATGCGGCACCTATCAGTAGCCTGCAGGCGCCGCGCACCGCCCAGAAGCCTCTGATCATCTTAGACATTCGGCAGTATGCGGTATTCCTACTTGATGGTGAATACATTAGAGGCTTTGCGCAGAGCCACCCGGAGCCACCCGGTGGCTCGTCAGGTATGCACTCATGGTGGCTAAAATGATGCCAAAATCGTATTTTTAGCCACCAGTGAAGCCACCAGATGACGTCGTGGCTGGCGTAGCCACCGGACAGCGCATGCCGAAATAGCCACCGGGTGGCTCCGGGTGGCTCTGCGCAAAGCCTCTATTACTCTTTTTAAATTATGTCTAGTGCATTGTGTACCTTCGGAAGTTCCAATTCTCTGAGCCACCATTCAACCGCATCTATGGCCTGGCGGCTCCGATGAATTGTGGACCGCATCTCGCTCGTGTATCTCAGGGTGATAGGATGTTCCTGCGATATGTTGTTCTATTTTGAACGACAGCCTCTTGTATCCATCAAAGCTGTTCCATTATCAGTAACTCAGAGGCTCTGAACCTGACTATACATTGTGCTATTATATATCCCTCAGTCCTATAGCAGTACCAGCAGAGTTCCACTAACTCTGCCTAGATTGAGAGCTGTCCAGACCCTCAATTTACACATGGGTTGCTTCTAAAGGGGACATCAGGTGTCTCCGATTTTTTGGCTCTCTCCCCCCGCCGGCTCCATTCAATCACTCCTTTTGCCACCTACTCTTGTAAATTGACCTTGGGTCCCTATTTATAACTCGCCACAGTCCTTGGTCATTTATACCACCGTTCAAACCAGGTGGGTGCCTCCGGTGGTAATGAACCTCCTGTTTTGTCTGGAAACACTGATTAACCATGACAGAATGTGAGGTAGGTACCTTCGATCAGCTTCGATGCCCCTATCCGGTGTCTGTGTGTCGATTCGGATGCATGATAACTGGTACTGATGTCAAATATCTCGAATGAAACCATAGGCCAGTCTGTATCCGTCACTCCCGGCATCAGGCACCTTAAATCGGAGGCGCCGGACATGTTGAAAGAGGCTCTGATTGGAAGGACAGACCTCTTATATGAGCCGGCAATATCCCTTGGACAAAAGGAAGCATGACTGACTGAAAAATCACCTCCTTTGAGGGAGGTTGGTCGGTTGGAATCTCTCGACCCGGAGGCGGGCCGGCACTGATCAACCAATCAGGAGTGGAATAAAGACGAACATTTTGAACATTGTGTAGTATCTCAGCAATACTCTTTAGAATCAGGCAGTAGGAGCACAGGAACAAGATTCCCACTGTGTGTGAGCACTCCAGAAGTTAAACTCTTCTTACCATGTTTTGAACTCAATCTTTGAGGCATTCGTGCCGAATTGACCTGCATAACGTAGTTCAACTCGTCAACTTTGTTGCACGCCAACAGTATCTTTGAATAATCCAGGATATTTTGGTCACATACCGTGGGGCGGTATAGACATGTATTCTGATGCTATCGCTGTATCATTCTGTCGCGTATAGGGTGCAAACAATATGATTTCCTGACGGTTTGGTGTTTATTCAGATGCTGATTGGTTTATCAATCCCGGACCGCCTCCGGGCCGATCTAATCCGAGCATCCAGAGGTTCAACTTGACATCGAACTTGGCAGTTTTCAGGGAATCATCTGTCTTCTGATACAGAAGGAACATCTGTGGATCTCACTGGAGGCTCACTGGTCCAAGGCAGGAGCCTCCTTCAACTTAGAGCTGCTATGCATATAGAGGGTGAGGTTAAATTTACTCGAGAATATTGGCAGCCGGTGAGCTCAAGCTGAGTGCGGCTCCCTCCATGACGGGGCACACAACCGAGGCTGAGGTAAGATCTACCAACTGTCCAGTGATCGCAATCACTACTAGTAGTAGCATGAGATTTCTATTTCTCTCCGAGCCATCCATTTTACAACAGGTGAAATGATACTGGATGTACAGTGTCTGGGGTTAAAGCAGGTGTGGCAGAAAGCTGCCCAAAAATTATCGGAGGTGTCTGCTTCATTTCAGAGGCACCTGCTTCATGTCTGCTACAGTGAGTCAGACGGTTTGGGCAATAGCATGGCTTTTACTCAAGAAAGAATAGATAATGGGTAACAAGTAGTCATAGTAGTAGGGCAACCAATAGCACAACAGATGACAATCACCAGAGGCACCGATATCATCTCCATTATCACTATACACAGGACAGAGGCAAGGGAAAGATTTCTGGTTGAGTTAAAACACAGCACGTATACTCTGGTGCCATAAAAGTGAGGGATATGGAGTGAGGAAGCTGGTCAACATCTACCGGAGGCGTGATTGAATGGCACCGGCTAATTGAAGCAGCAACTTTGAAACTGGAGGAATGTACCATGCATACCACACAAAAATAATGTATCCACCATGAAGGTAAGGATACCCAGTACTGCAGCTGGTCGGGGATGATTATACCGGAGGCGTGATCCAACGGTGCCGGTGAATCAAAGCAGATGAACAAACCAGGAAAATGGAGCGCGTACATTCAAAATCTACCATACATATAGCATGAATAATATAATGTAACCACCATAGAGGTCAGGATAACCAGTAGCGCGGCTGGTCGGGGATGATGAGAGGCTCAAATATTGGCCTGGAGCAGTGTGCGGCACCTGCAGGCTACCGGTAGGTGCCGCATGTGACTAGAAAAGGAAGGTGATATAATAGAAGCACGGGCTCCGCACCTCCAAGGAGGCCTATTAGGCCATTTGCTGTCATACAAAGTAAATGGCCTAACAGGCCCATGCTGTAAAGGAAGCGGCGGTCCCTCAGGTGTGGCATTCGTGGTTACATTGTAGTTCACAGCCATCAGCTTTAATCGCACCTGATCAGTGCCTTAGTGTGTGGTTTGACTAAGAGGATGGGCTGACAAGGAGGAAATTGCGAATATCTTGGGTGTTACAGAGCCGAATATCGCACTTTTTCGTTCAAATCGGTTGTCACACATCATGCACCCCCCTGTCAATCACGAGCTTTGGTCGACATCACGCATCACTTGGGCCTCTGTTGAATCTCTAGGCGCTCACACAGGTCTCCAAACTGCCCAAAAAGTGTAAAAAAGACGAAATTTCCGAGGTGTCACGCAAAAATTCAGCAGCTGCCAAAAAAATGTCGAATAGGCAAAATGGGTCATGTATCACCCCCTGTCGATTTGAACGAAAAAGTACAGTATTGGGGTAGGGTGAAAATGAAGGTATTCAACAAAGATTTCTTGAAAAATAGGTTGATAGAATGTTGAAATTGTTGCATGGGTGGAAGTGTGAAAAGATCAGATTTGGAGGAAGTTGGAGGATGTAACCCTTGAGGACCCAGAATTTGGGTGAGGAGGCAAGACATTTTGGAAAATATGTATTTAAAGGTGTGTGCTTAGTCTATGGAGTTGCTGGGGTCATTGGGTAAGGGTACTTAACTAGGTGGGCAGGATGGAAACCAATAGAGCACCATCAAAGCACCAGAATGGAACAGAAGCTGTTCTTGTGTGGGTGCAAATCAATCCGGGGATAGGAATGGGCAGCCAGAGGACAAGTTGCGTTGAGAATTTTTATTCGAGGGCTTGCAGTCTGGGTGCACATGACTCAATGCATTCCAGAACAAATGGCTCCTGCTGGGTCCTGTTTGGTTTGTCACTTCCTGGATGGCTATTTTTGAACCTGATCATTGTGTGTACAAGAAAAGAAAGTTTGTGGCATGTATACTGGAGACACGGCTTCTGAATGGCTGGACAGGATATAAAGCGGTGGGAAGCTGGCAACAAGGTACATGATGCCTGTTTCTCCACCCAACATTGTAGAAGGGGAAGTAAAAATTCAGGTCTTGGTGGTAGGGAAGCCCTGCAAAATGTGGTACAGGATTGTTGGCGACCTTCCCAGTCCCAAATCTCATCATCCCCTCATTGCCCTCCAAGGCGGCCCCGGTTCCAACCATGCCTACCTATTTATTCTCTCTGACCTTACAATACAATCAAATTGAGAATGGAAACTCAATGCACCTTCCAGAGAAAAATAGAGACGTCACTTTCTGGATGGAACAGCTATTCCTCGACGAGCTCGACAATCTCCTCTGTCACCTGAAGGTCAAAGAGAATTACAATTTACTTGGTCATTCGTCTGGAATCCCTGTTAATTCAAGCCTGTCTGTACTGACAACATTTGAATGGGGTGGAATGTTAGCCTCACACCATGCCTCGAAACAGCCCCTGGGTTTGAAATGCCTCATTCTTGCGAGTGCTCCCCCAGATATAGGGCTCTGGGTCGAATGTCAAAACACCCTTTGGACTGAGCTCCCACAGAACATTCAAGACATTCTGAACAAGAATGAGTGGGACAAGAGCACTTCAGATACTTTATTAGCTCATCTTAAGTTCTAGGCGGTCCAGACCGCTAGAGGACTTAAATGATAGAGAACTCAAGTCATGGCAACAAGGATTAAATCCAACACAAAAACAAAATCCACCCAAGGGATTTGAACCACAGACCTTATGACCTTCTGAATTTCAACAGATTACAATAGAAGGACTTGACCACTAGACCAGGAAGACCACATCTAAAGTGCTCAATCAGACCGTCATTAGCTTTCTTCCATGCTTTCATGCCCTCATGGTAAGTATTCCATATGTATTAACTCACTTGTCATTTCTAGTCATCTTTCACCATGTTTTTTATAAAGATTAATTTATTGAAACAGATCAATCTCTAAATCATCTATGGATAGTGGTTTGGCCACAGGACCTGAAGAGGCAAAATAAAAAAAGCAGAGAAGGTTTAGGCCATTACCAGGCCAATGTTGTATCCATGTGTTCAATTTGAGGTACTATATCCTTTCTGGTGTAGTGGTTAATATCTTCGCCTTCTGCTAGTGAAAGACTGGGAGGTCTGGTGTTCGAATCCCTTGGGTGGATTTGTTTTTGTGCTTGGACAGGACTTAAGTGCTTGGGGACTTAAGTACTTGAGTGTTGTGGGACTTAAGTTCCAGGGGGTGTGGTGCTCCTATGTACAGGTGGACCGCATGCAGGGCAGAATTTGAGTTCGGTGGGACTTGAGTCCCACTGTGGTTCAGACTGGCATTAACTTAAGATGAGCTCCTTCAATTTCATGAGCACGGACAGTGCGGAGTACAAGGTGGCGTGTTCTACTCTTGCTTCCTCTGCAGAATCCATCCATTGCACGAACCACTAGCAGAGGGTTTTGATTGGATTGAGAAGGATCCAACAGTTTATTTCACAATATGAGTGCTGCGAGAACGCTTGGCTATCTGTTGATCCAATCACAAGGAATGGACCCTCAGAATTCCATATCACTGGACACTCAAGAACTGGTCGATAATTAGTGATGCGCACACGATCAATGTTCTGACCTTGTTATTGAATGGCCGGTACAATGAGGCCTGCAACTTGGTTTTTGCACCATTCTTTCGCGAAATCCCCTGCATCAAGTGGGTAACTTTTGCTGAATCGAGTCACGTGTTGAACTTTGAGGAGCAGGAGAGGTGTATGGAGATCGTGGGCAGCTTCCTGATCGATGAACCGGAAAAGTATTCATCATTTTGTACACACAGCATAGCACAAACGAGTTACCTGCCCAGTACCCTTTTAAAACTAGAAACCAGAGAGTATCTGGCCACACATTTCTATGAGGCCATTTAGACTTCTGCTGGAAAATTAACTATCACAGCCCCGGGGAAAACTGAGGAGCGAACCTAGGTTGACAAGCACCTACTGGTCTTATCTCACTTCACTATTGGTTGTCTGCGCAGAAAACACACGAGTCTTTCTGGAAATCCTGGAGGAACAAAAAAGCAAACTGTCAGGCATGAATTTACTTCATTGAATAACTTAAATTGAATTTGTACAGCACTGAGATTCACAGATTGTCCCAATAGAAAGGCAAAAAACTTTAGAATGCTCAAAGCCCAACAGCCGTAAGAGGCCGGTTGAAATCCAGTGTTCCCAGACCTGTCACAGGGTCCCAACCAGGGGCAGCAGAGAACCCACAGATTGATACTCAAGCCGAGTGAGAAAACGTACTCGGTGTTGTGTCCTGGGTTGATACCCGTGATTTGTGATGCATTCAGCATGGTTGGTATAGCCTGAGATGAAGACAAATGCGCGCCGGGGGTAACGCCGGTGAGTGCAGCTCTACCTGCGGGGCTATACAAGAAGGAACTATTTTATGAATGCTGAATGCTAATCCCCGTTTGCGCTAGGTGATAAAAGAGTCATTGTTCCACTAGGGGTGCTCAATTCTTAAGTCGCCCGTCCCGTCCCATCAAATAATTCATTAATATTTGCTCGGAACAAACAAATGTCAAGCTCCGCTAAGCCTGAGCACTTCTGGGGGCCCACTGGCCAGCCTTCTGTCCCACAATCACCGAATTTAAGTAGTGCCACAGAACTAAAATGCATTATAGACAGTATGGGATCCATTGTGGGCAAGTAAAATTATCTTGTCGAGTTGCACTCAGTTTGTCTTCCTGACATTTTCGGCTTGTTAACAAATGCCATGTAATTTTCTCTGTGCAGATCTTTGGCACCGGAACTTATTTAGGAATTTATCGATCATTTATACCGCTCGAGCAGCATGCTAAAGGTAGGAAACAGCGAGGGGTTGCCCCGCAGCATGGCGAAGTTTGAAATTTGTTTGTTCCGAGCAAATATTAATTGATTTTTTTGACGGGACGGGACGGGCGAGTTAAGAGATGTTTGTCAGAGGCACTCATCCGCCGGACTAGAAGTGCCGCCCTTTATTTCAAGGGCGGCACTTGAGCCGTTGATAGCATGCTAAGTGCCACCAATGCGGCGCATGCGCCGCTTATGATTTAAATTTCATTGGTCCCGAGGGTGTGCCGAGGAGAATTGGTGCATCTGGGGAGAGTGGCTCGAGGCAGCCTCATACGAACCTCAGCATAGCTGAGCACAACCTTGCCAGGCAAACCCTGCCGAGGCGTCTAGGCGAACCTTGGCATATCTGGACCCACATGCGCTGAGGAGCCGCCAAAGTGCAGTGAATTCCATTTGATTTTTGTTTACTTTTACTGACTTGGCTCTTAAGATCTTGTCCTTAGATGCTGTCACCAGTTCTCTAGTCAACGCCATCAGAATGCCACTATGACTCGATGTAAGCCTTATTGTGGTCCCACTCTTCAACAAGCAAGGTACGAGCTCAGGTTCTGTTGAAGTGTCTGCCTAGTGGAGACTGATCCCACTCAGACCTCAATCGCTCATTACCTTATCTTTACTTAGATCTTTGGCAGCACTGGATCGTATACGTAAAGTTAAACTTTGAGAGTAGCTGTAGCATCTGAGGTTTATACCTCAAAACTTCGATTGGATAGCAGTATAATGTGTGTCTCACAGGTCCCCTGAGGGGTAGGATGATGATTGTATCCCCAACCATCTTAGTACTGACTCCAGGGCCTTATGAGATATCTCCCGATAAAGTCTCTGTGAGTAGTGGGAATTTTCTCTACCGTTTACAGCTGTTTGAAGAAGTAATGACACTCATCAAATTTTTATAAATAAGAGCAAATTTGACTTGTCATTTTGTCGAGCTCATTACCGGCTCAATTCTCAACGGATTTCCTCGAATATAGGTGCGTTCTAAACGGCGAAGCGTGGCTTTCAGACCGTACCCTATTTGCTGGGTAGATTACATAATTTGTATGTCCCAACATTCGGGCTCCCTGGTTTGAACCAGATACGGCAACGGCCATATCTTCGCCATCTGTCAACCGATTTGCCTAAATTCAGATGATTCTGGAAGCTATGATTGAGGCACAGCCCTTTAATATGATACCTTTTGGTTTTCACACAAGGCAATCTACCAGGAATGGATATTCAGTCTAGATCTGTAACCCCATCCTTACGGGTGGGAATCATTCATGTTTCATTTTGGGAATACGCACCAGTGATTGCCTTTACTCTAGCTTTCAGAATCATCTAAGTTTAGGCAAATCAGTTAACAGATGGTGAAGATATGGCCGTTGCCGTATCTGGTTCAAACCAGGGAGCCCGAATGTTGGGACATACAAATTATGTAATCTACCCAGCGAATAGGGTATGGTATGAAAGCCACGCTTCGCCGCTTTCGAACGCACCTATATCCGAGGAAATCCGGTGAGAATTGAGCCGGCAATGAGCTCGACAAAATGACAAGTCAAATTTGCTCTTATTTATAAAAATTTGATAAGTGTCATTACTTCTTCAAACAGCTGTAAACCGTGTACAAACAGTGTCCGATTCTAGACCGTTTGAACCCGCGGGCAAATTAAAATGAAACGAAAATGCTTTAAACCGTGTATACACATTTATACACGGAAACGGTTCAAACCTCGCTCTTTGAACTGTCTCATCTGAGGCCCAACCGACGGAACAGATGGTGGCGCTCTCTGGCCACACTCAGTTGCTCTTCTTTTTACGAGATAAATAGTGTGGGATCTAATGATCACACGACCCGCCTCCCGGCATTTGGTATATTCCCTTTTCTTTCCGCTTGTTTCGCGATAAATCATAATTGGCCTGGACCTCGTTACATTTTTTGAATGTTGGCCACTGTCAAGCTTCTCATCTATCTTTTGATCGGGAAAAACATGGCAGTCACGTGTCGCATGCTGCACACCTGTGTGTCATGTACACGTCGCTTCATGTCGTCTGTCTTCTCCTCATTGTCTACACGTATGTTTATTCTTCTACCTCGACGTGCGGCGGCGACGTTCGTCCAAGCGGCAAACTCTGAGGGCAGGTCTATTGATGTCCCGACCATGACCTGTTTGGTTCAAGGTGTACCAACAACGGTGGATAGGATGGGGCAGGACGATGATACATCACTTCACATTTTATCCGTCACGAGTTCGCAGCAAGCAAGCATCCACCGCTCATCGCCCTCACTTACATAAGCTTATTTTTATTTTTGTTCTTTTCAGAAGGTCCGACACGGACTCCACCATTTGGAAGAGGTGCTAGAACTTTGTACGTAAAGCCGATGCTTCGCACACACCCATATAGACTGTATTATGTACGTGGCTACTAATTTTAGTTATGTTCAACATTGTGCTGAATATCAATACCTCATATCCCATATACCCAAGTATTGCTTGCGGAATCCTTTGCCCAGCACGACGGTACACGGTAGATTGGTTAACATATTTTCTGTCCACCATGACATACGGTGTCCCGCTGCTCCGCTTCCTTGTATCGCGATGAACCATTTGGCCAGCGATCTTTCTCTGGGGAAAACCCTCTGAAACACCTGTGTATGCGATGCGCAACTTGACCACACGTAGGGTTTTATTTGCAGGTGAATTCAGTTTGAGTTTGTTTCTCAAAATCTTCACATTTGGCCGATCGCGTCGGCCAAATGGGGCTCAGTGAGGGACTCCACCGTTTACGTCGACACCTAATAAGCTCTAATGAATCATGTCACCAGCATTTCACGGAATGTACCAATCTCAATATGGTGCCTTTGGAGTCCTTGATAACGCATTTGCAGGAAAGAAGGACGTCCGATGATCAACGAAAATGTCTGTCCGCCAAGGATTTCAAGATAAAAACTGCCCAAATTTCGTCTGGCACCAGGCCAGAATCGGATAAATTTTCGACTTTTGGTGCACCATGTCAAGTCCACTCTTCGGATCAAACACCGGCCACCCATCGGCCCCGTTGGCCATGCCGGGGAGGATTCCGATAAATTTCCGGGCTACAGTACCAAATTTGGAACGAAATTGCGAGATCAAAAGGGCTTTTTTTGCAGGTATTTCATTCGTGTGGCGTATTGTTGTCAAAGGACCCCACAGGCCCAGTCAAAAATTCGGATAAAAACCGGCACTGACCAAAGCAGGGGTCAAATTCGGATAAGACTTTTCCAATATGGGACGCGGATCAAATCTCAGAATTTCTGAGATTTT